AAAAAAAATTGTTGCAAATGGAACATAAATTTGTTATATATGTACATTTATATATATATTGTGATTTATTTATTTTGGTTAAAAATGCAGACTTTCCAAGCAGCTTGTTGATTTGTCACAGTTACTTTTCGATATTAAGTAGTTCCGAAAAGTAACGAATAGACAAATGTCTCTCATCGCTAATGTTCGCTTGGGTTAACCAGTTTAATTTATTTTGCCGACTCTTCCTGACTTAGTTGATATTCTAAAAATATAAATAAATCGAAATAGAATGTTATACGGAATTTTAAGTCTGTGCTGGATTCCGTTAGCGGGATTTGTTTCATTTTTGGTCATTTTATCTGCTATCAACAAATCTATTGGAGTGCGCAGGGCATACGTTAAACTCCTTCTTAGGATATTTGAGGTAAATTTACTTAAGAATTATGTGTAAATATTAAAAAATATGTGTAAAAGTGAATGTATTTATAAATAATGTGTTATATATAAATAGAACATACAACTTTTTTGTTGCTAAAAACGCAATATATTAAATCATAGTGGATTAAAAATAAGTTCATAAATATAGCTTGCTTCAATAATAGTACTGATGTGCTTGAATAATAACAGTATTAGAAGCGTTTAAATGTACATTTGATTGACTTAAAACTCAGTCAGCCTCTATAAGTAAATTGTACACAATATCACGATAATAACGGAACGTTTAGCAATCAACTTTCTATGAGATTGTAATTGATTTCGTCAAAATACAGACAGTGATTCCAAAAAGTATTGGTACACCAGTAAATTCGGTCCCTTCAGGACGATCGATTAATGAGAATGAAAGAGGCATGAACTAAAATAAATTAATGTAATTTATCTATGAAAGTACATCATTACATTACGGACTTTTTTTTTTTTACTTTACTTTTATAATTTATAGCAAACATAAAATTTGACCCTTTGGGGTCAAAGTGTCCATATCCTCCATAGACTTCTTAAGTAATTTTGAAACAGACGAATGTGATCATCGCAGCTGTTTTTGAACCGCAATCGAATATTACGCAATTTTCTAGTGCAAAACGGTTACGTTAATTTTATGGCTCTTACTATTTTTTATTACTTAGATAGTATAATTATATATTTACTCCCAGTCGATAAGTATAGACCACCTTTTATTGGAAAAATATCGCTTGTATGTCTATAAGGGTCAATAATTGTGAATAAAAGAAATATGATAAATGATAAATTGATCTTATTTCTATATTATCACAAAAACTCTGTGAAAATTTGCGTTTAAAAAGTTAAAATTTATAAGAAATGCTGTGACAAGTGTCAAGCACATTTATCTGGCTTCAGTTCTAATAGGCTTTAATATCGGTTTGGCGATATGCGAATGCAAGATTAGAGTGGGACAATACTAAGCATAAAAATACCAAGGTGTAGCGGGCATAGATCTCATGTAAAATATTTATATGTAAATATACTTTTTCAAGTTTCCTTAATAAAAATGAGACTCAAAATTTTCTAATGTAGATTTCCTCTATGGCAATATGCAAGAATATATTTATGTAGCTTTAAACTTGAGATTTACTGTCTTTTAATGGAAAGAAATGATAAACGATTCCTTCCAGATGACATGAATATCTGAAGTATCAGCAGAAAAGAATAATATGATCCGGTAAGTATACCGGCTTGGTTATGTTAATGATGAATGAATATATAGAGATCTCTTTGGGGGTGCTCAAATCAAAAACTCTTTCGAGGTTTTAGAACTGTTCACTAAATTGAAATCATCGCCTTTAGAAGTTTTAGAATAAGATGGTTCTATGTACTTCGATTTTCCAATATTCTCCTTTGATAGTTTTTTGCCATGCATGAGATTGGGAGTAGGTCCAAAATGCATGAGATCGGAGTTGCATGCTTCTCACATAACTTAACTTGTGCAGGGCTATTTTCTAGTCAAGGATATCCTCATCCCTTTAATCAATTTTGTATAAAATATTTCTTACTGACAGAGACGGATATGTTTAAAAATCTCAAAAAGTATTATATTTCTCTTGTAAACAATTTTCGAATTATCTTGATTATAGTATGGCCGTAACAGCATAGAGTCGGCATCAAATGAAAATCAGAAGAGCCCGAATGATAAGGGCGAAGATCAAAATTCACAGGTGGAGTTGGTGAATGGATTAGACGCAAAAGAACCAACAACTGGAGCAGTCCTTATCAACCGGGATGCTGTTCTGCTACCCCAGCCTCAAGAGCTCAATCATGATAAACCAACTTCAATAAAAAAGGTAAATAACACAATGCTTTTCTATAATCGTGCATATTCATTCAAGATAATGGCTATTCAAGTATGGAATGCTGTTTTTGTTTACAGATAAGATTGCTTTAGAAATAGATCGAATCACTTGAAATTTATAACAAATATTTACATTTTAATTTTAGGAGGAAATAAACTTCGATTTTGAAAATTGCTTAGATTATGTGAAAGCTGGAGTCGAAGCTATTATCGAAGATGATGTTACCTCAAGATTTCAGGCTGAAGAGCTGAAGAACTGGAACATGCTGACGCGAACAAATCGACACTATGAATTTATATCATGGAAAATAACATTGATATGGGTGGTTGGATTTGCAGTGCGATATAGTATATTGATGCCATTGCGCGTATTCGTTTGCTTTGTCGGAGTAAGTATTCATTCGATGATAACATTCTTAATAACATAGATAATAGAATTAATTCAGCTAATACCGTATCGGTTGCCTATACTATAAAAAGATAATGTCATTTATACACATATTCGTTTTAGCACTCGAATTTGATATTTGTAGGTGCTGAAAATTAATAAATTGATTCCCACGCTCCTAATGATAATAAAGTTTACATATTATCTATAATTGTAATTATC